GCGACTGCCTTCGGCTCAGGTCATGATCCTGGAGTCCCGGGATCGAGTCCCGCATCGGGCTCCCTGCTCAGCGGGGAGTCTGCTTCTCCCGCTCCCATTCCCCCCTCTCCCGCTCCCCCCTCTCGTGCTCACTCTTTCTCTCACTCTCTCTCTCTCAAATAAATAAATAAAATCTTTTTAAAAATAAATAAATAAAGACATCCCAGACGATGCCATCAGCATCTTTATAAACCTTAAAGGACAAAAGACCTGATTTCCTCAATGAATTGCAAGGTGAGGGCGGAGGAGGGAGGGAAGGGAAATTTTAATGCAATATGTAGACTTTGCTGGGATTCTGATTCAAAGAAACCAAATGTTTTTGTTTCTTTAATGAGGTAATTGGGGAAATCTGAACACCAATCAAATATTTGATGATTTTAATAAATTATTGTTTTACAGTGTTATAATTCTTAAATTAAGAATCCTTATCTTTCAGAGATACACATATATGTACAGATGAAATTACATGAAGTTTGGGATTTCTTTCAAGATAACCTACTGGGGTTTGAGGAGTGGATTAGGATACAGATATGAAATAATACTGGCCATGAGTTAAGAATTGTTGAGCTAAGTGATGGGTACATGGTAGTTCTTCATACTATTTTCTCTACTTTTATAAATGAAAGTTTTTGTAAGAAATTTTTAAAGAAAGAGAGAGTAAGCATTTTCCTGGTGGAGGTGCTCAGGAAAGGAACAGTTCCATTACCCACATCTCGTCTGATCCAGCAAAGTGTTGATTAACTAATTCAGTTTTTATTCCTTGGCCCATGAGTCTCCCTTTTAAAAAGAGATTGAGTTGCAGTCAGGGTACACAGAGACACAGTGGATAGAGTCCTCTCACCTCACACGGAGGAGACCAACACTGGGCACTCAGAGTGAGGACAGGTTTATGGCAAAAATACAAATGACCAAAACAGTTTCTCTAAAAACAAATAGACAAACAACCAAAAAAAACCACAACAACCAAAAAACAAAAAACTCCTGTGTTCATAAGGCTTTCCCAGGGAGTAACTCTAGTCCTCCATGAAAGCTCAACAAAGTTCTTGTTCCCACCCTGCTAAGGCACCCTTGCCAAATTCACATGTTCCTAGTTATCCCTATATCCAAAGCATGCCTGAAGACACCCTGTGGTTGCAGAAAAACACATGTTACTTCCACACTTTCCAGATTGCCAGCACTGCCTCCAAACCAGAGCCCCAAGAAATAAGCCCCAAACTCAGAATTTTCTCGGGTAATTGGGAATTCTGGGACACCTGCTGTTCTGCTGGTAACCAGCAGGTGGCACTAGGGCCCCAACTAGGACATTACAGCCACTTCAGCCCCTGGAGTCAGAGCCTTGAGTTATTTATATTAGCCTTCTTTTCTTACCTGCTCAAGAAGTGCTCCCTCTAACCTATCAGCTTCATAAACAGCAGTTGTGTATGGGAGAGCTGTCTGAGAAACAGCTTTGTTTGGCTGGGCTAAAATGATTCAAGACGGTCTTTTTATACAAATAAGGCTGTTCTTTCCCCATAGCAATCCAGACATGGAAAGGATTTGCCCTCTTGGGAAGGGGGCAGCAACGAGAAGGCGGTGTGACCATGTGAACACTACCACATGCCACTGCTCTTGAGTATGATGGAAGCAACACTGGTGCTCACAAGCATAGATACAAACCCAGCTGCTAAGGTGCTTGCTATGGACTGTGTCTCCTCAAAATTCGTGTTGAAGCCCTAAACCACAATGTGATGTATCTGGAGGCGGGGGCCTTTGGGAGGTGATTAGGTTCAGGTGAGGTTATGAGAGCAGAGTCCCCATAATGGGATGAATGCCCTTTTAAAAGGATGCAGAGACAGGAGATCTCTTTCTCTGAACGCGTTCACCAAGGGAAGGTCATGTGAGGAGCTAACCAGGAATAGGAGCCCCCACCAAGAACCTGCCCATGCTGCACCCTGATCTCAGACTTCCAGCCTCCAGAACCATAAGAAAAAAGTATTTGTTGGTTAAGCCACCTAATCCACGGCACAGGTACACCTCCATTCATTGTGCTTCACTTTACTGCAATCTGAAGATACTGCATTTTTTTACAAATTGAAAGTCTGTGGCAACCGTGTGTCAAGCAAGTGTCTCCATGCCATTTTTTCCAACAGCATTTGCTCACCTCGTGTCTGGGTCCCATTTTGGTAATTCTCCTAATAGTTCAAGATTTTTCATTATATCTGTTATGGTGATGTGTGATCAATGATTATGACTCACCAAAAATTCAGATGATAGCATTTTTTAGCAATGAAGTATTTTTTAAATTAAGGTCTGTACACTGTTTTTCTCTCTCTTTTTTTTTTTTTTAAGATATAATGCTATTGCACACTTACAGACTATAGTATAGTATAAACATAACTTTTATATACACCGGGAAACCAGAAAATTCATCTGACTTGCTTTACTGTGGTGGTCTGGAAGCAAATTGGCAGTATCTCTAAGGTGTGCCTATATTTCATTATAGAAGCCCAAACCGACAAAGGCAGTGCTATAATTAACCAGGCTTGTTTTAAGATCATTAGAGACGAGGAAAAGTCTACATCAAAGCAGGATTATAAGCCTTCACTCCATCCTTCTACAGTATCAAACCCTCCATGCTCTGAGTCCCTAAAGAGCCGGTTTTGAGTCATCGGAGCAGACTTCTAACAACCTGACTGCCAACAGGCAGACAAGTGAAAAATCCCATTTCAGCATGCAAGTGAGCAGGAAGTCCTGGGTTTAGGCTACAACAGCTCTGTCTCCAGGCCACTCCCACTCTCACCCGTGTTCACAGCCACGCACAGAGAAGGAAGGCTAGGTGCTCGGCCCATGGAAGGCCGTACTGCTTCCAGCTCTTTCTAGGCAATGTCCAAGCCAAGCAACAGTGACCCCAAACTTCATAGGCCCTACCTGGAAGTGCAAAATAATGGTCCAGATCAGGCCCAGGGTCAGCTTGGGGTTGCCATCCGTGATGTCGTCATTGCGAATATTCACTAGTTTCACCTGGAAAAGAAAGAGGCTGATCTCAGAGCTCTGGGAATTTTTACTGTGATTTCATTTTTATAGATATTCATCATTATATACATTTAAACTGACTCTGTGTGTGTGTGTGCACGTGCAGACAGTTCTATGAGTTTCAACATCTGTATAGATGTGGGTAACTACCACTACAATCAGGGTAATAGGACAGTTCCATTATCCCAAAAAGGTGACTGCATGCTGCCCCTCTGTAGTCACACCTGCCCCCACCCTAATTCCTGCCCCCCACTGATGCGCTCCCAGTTTTACTTGTTCTAGAATGTTGTATGAATAGAATCATATAGTATGTAAGGTTCTGATATTGGCTTTTTTTTTTCCCCCTCAGCATAACACCCTTGAGATCTCCATCCTCACTGTTACATATATCAGTAGTTTGCTCCTTTTTATTGCTGAGTAGTATTCCACTGTATCAACAGACTAGGCTGTGTTTACCCATTCATCCACTGAAGAACGTTCCGGTTGTTTTTAGTTTGGGACAATAATGAATAAAGCTCCTAGATTCATGAGCATATGCTTTCATTTCTACTGGGTAAATTTGCAGGCGTGGGACTGCTAGGTCATATGGTATATGTTTAGCTTTATAAGAAACTGCCAAACTATTTTCTAGTATGATTGCACCAATTTGCATTCCCATCAGCAAGGCAACCTTGTAAGCACATGGTATCCTGAGTTGCTTTTTTATTAAATCATTGCAGCCCTGACTTTTTTTCTTTGTTTTTTCCCTGGGGGGGAAAGGGTGGCAAGCTCTTCTCCCTTACCCGTCTTTGGCCTGCTCCCACCTCCATTTTCCCTCCTCTGTTGAAGATATCCACACCTGCCCAAGCCTCCACTAGCATCTGCTTTTACTCATAAAATCTCACTCCAACAACACAATGTGCGTAGACACATAGGCCCTATCCCCCACTGGGTGGCCGACCGACCCACGTGCTGGAAACTGAGAGATTTCCTGGATTGTGGGATTTTCAGCGCTGAAACTGAGAGGATACCAGGAAAACCAGCTCAGCAAGCCTCTTTTGTCACACTCTCACGGAGTTCCTGTTCAATTGTGACAAACTGTCCTTGAGCTGTCCTCCCTGCATCTCTTCAATTGAACTGAAATCTGTGTCTCTCTAAAGAGCTCTGGTGACCTCGAACAAGCTTCACTTCTTCCCTTGACTAACAGTGACCTGGTACTACAGACTAAATGCTTGTGTCCCTCCAAAATTCATACGTTAAAATCCTAACACCCAATGTGACGGTATTTGGAGGTGGGGAGGTGATTAAGTCATGAGGGAGATGCCCTCACGAATGCAAATGGTACCCTTGTAAAAGAGACCCCAGAGAGCTCCCTTGCCCTTCCACCAGGGGAGGACACAGCCAGAAGACTGCAGACTACGAGCCAGAAAACAGGACCTCGCCAGATACCGAATCTGCCAGTAGTGCCTTGCTCTTGGACTTCCCAGTCTCCAGAACTATGAGAAATACATTTCTGCTGCTTAGAAGCCAACAATCAATATTATTTTTGTCAACAGTATTTTTGTTATAGCAGCCTGAACAAAGACACCTCTATCTCCAGGAGAAGCTGCCCTTCTAGATTGAGAATAGTTTCCTAATCCTCATCACTGACCCACGGTTGGTAGGCTGCAGTATCGGTCAAGTCCATATTCCTCAGTCCCACTTCCATCAGCTTGCCTCCTCCATTCCAAAGTCCACCTTGGCAAACTACCTTCCAATCTGTCCTAACTCTTGATGACTTTAACACCTAACTCCTAAACTGGTGATCTTAGTACTCATCTCAATAACCCAAATATCACCCTATCTGCACAATTCGCGTGCCTTCTCCATTTTGAGGACTTTTGCTTTTACTCTACTTCGGATACCTACACAACTTGGACCTCCCCATTACCAAGAGCTGTTCTAGAGTTCGCCCTGCCCTTCTCTGAGTCTACTGTTCTTATCTGCACATATTTTCATTTGATCATAGTAACCAAATCTACCCTTGGTCCTTATTTAGACGTGTAGCTAATCAATTCTTCTCAATCAACCTTGGCTATTAAGAACCCCCAGGTTCCCTCCAGCTCTACACACAGATATTTCCAATCTTGTTTTCTCCACTACTCTAAACACTGCCTCTAATTCTCCCACCACTTTTTCATTTGTCAATTTATTTCAATAAATATTTATCAAGTATCAATTATGGACCATTCACTATGACAAGTGATGAAGATAAAAATGTTAAGTAAGATCCTGTTCCTGGTCCTCACAGGGCCTACATAACATGGCAGCAAACAGAGAAATAACAAAGTAGTAGATGTTATATTGGGACTAAATTGCTCTGGGAACACAGAGAAGGAGAATTTCCCAAGTTAATGAGAATTACTGATAAAAGTGAAAAAAATTAACTAATTCTAAAAATATGCATACCATTCAACGTCGGCTTGGCCCGAGCTATTGCTCGTGGCTAGACCCATCTCTTCCACATGGCTGGCTCTAAGCAGACGAACTCTCGGAACCCTGTGTCCGTCTTCCTTTCTGCCACACACCACCCCTGCATCGTCATCCCTCCCTCCTTCCTTCTCCCTGTTATCTCAGAGAAAGGGGCATTTTCCTTTTTATTTTCCCAAAGATAAACACACCAGCTATGCTCAGGATTTCATCCCCAATTCCTGGACTTGGTTCCATCCATCAGGAAGTGGGGAGAAAGGGCAGAAACAGCATGGGTTGTGGCAGCATTACTGAACTCCAATGGCAGGAGACCTGGATGAAAGTCCCAGCTCAGCTCCAGCCTGTGTGCTTTGGGGCAGGTCACTTCACCTGTCCCGATCTCAGTTTCTTATCTAGGAGATGCAAAAACTGGGCTGGTACCTCTCTATGGCATCTCCTACGGCTAAAATTTTATCACTCGGTACTCCTCCTCACTCTCATTTCCACCTCCCTCTCTTCACTGGCTTCTCCTCCTATGTCCAAAAAATGTTGAAAACTTCTTTTTTCCCCTCCTATATCCAGGCCCACTAAACTCCAAGTGCTTTTCTGCTCTATTCAGACCGTTCTCCTAAGTCACTGATGCTTGGTGGCTTGGACCTTTCCCTCAGACCTGATGTGGTGCCAACACAGCGGCCAATTCTGACCAGACCCTTCTCTACTTTCCTGGATCATGTAGCCTTCTGATTTTCCCTCTTCCTGGATGATGTACCTTTCTTCCTACCTTCTTTGCTAATTTAATTTTCCACCTTTCTTTTGACCTCCACCTAAGGTGAGTCCGTAAGGTTCGGTCTTTGGCATCTTGCTCTTCTCTCTTAACACTGTCCCACTCAGGAAGGCTACAGGCTCTATGTAAGGATGACCAAATGATTTGTCCAACCATAACGCAACTGGCTCACTAGCAAGCAAGACTCAGACCAGGCCAATCAGATACAGCAATTACCAAGGGCCCACTAGGAGCGCTGAGAACATCCGTTAGGTGGGTACTCAATGCCAGCATCCCGGGGCAGGATAGGGAAAGCATGGACTCATCTTACCTGCCGCTGCTTTAGGAAGTCCAGGGCAATCTGCACGTTCTGCAGCCTGTGAAAACGCATCCTGCCCTTCTCCCGGGGCTGCAAACAAACAAAAAGAGATGTTAATTTTAGCTACACCAATTTACCCATGCAGACCCCAGTCCTTTTTCATTTCAGGGACTAGAAGATCACAAAAAATTCCTCGTGGTGGAACCCAGCCATGGGAGCATTACCCAAAGCACCCCTTAATGGTGGGACCTGTGTGTGTTTCGGCATACTCTCCGAGGCCTCCAAAACACTGCTTACCACTGTGCCTCCCGTGAACACACAGTATGCTTTGACTCCTAATGCTGAGCCAGTGCCACGGCTTCTCCACAGGTCCTTCTGTAGCCACAGAAGGCAGAACCTGACTCTGAATGTGCAGGTAATGGGAACAAACCCTGGCTCTATGGCTCCTCAAATCACAGTTAAATGCTATTTTAAAGGAAGGCGGCAAGTCCTAACTGCATGCTGCACAGTAATAGAGCCAACTTTATTAAAAACCTGGCAAAAGAAGCTAGAGGTAGCCAATTTTAAACTATGGCATGAAGAGTTATATATGCTTAATAAACAAGTGAAAAAGTTAAAAAATGAGACAAAAATCAGGAAGAAACCTATTTTCCAGGCAGAGGGGTGTCCACTTAGGAAAGCCACTTTTACCTTAGTATGAAATACCAAGAGCAATGAAAACCTTGGTGAGGTAGGGCTGTTCAACATGATACTCCAAAGAAAGGTATTTCCTGCTAGTCGCTTAGTCCCAGATGTCAGACGAGCCACAGGAGAGAAGCTCATCTCCATCCTCTGGTACCTCTGGTGCCCAGTCCACAGCTCAGCTATTATCCATCCAAAAGTGCTTGAAATCCATTTGCCCAGTGAGAACATGCAGGGATGGCTATCTACCTCTGGCACCTTTTCTCCTGCTCATTTTCCAACATTGCTTTTATTTTGCTAAAATTAGGCCTGAGACAACACTCTCACTAGATTACACACACACACACACACACACCCAATTCATTTGTAAATGTCAAAGTGGTACTAATTAAAGGCTGATGAATAATAAGGTAGCTCTGTGGCAGGTGCTTGCAAAGAGGAAACACTGCCCCAGGCTGAACAAAAAGTAACTGAACACATGTAAAGATAAGGGTAGAAATATCTCTTTGGGAGCCCCCAACACTTCTAAACAACACTCCCACACGGGGATAATCTGCAGAGATGTTGAGGCCTCTCTGGGCAATAGGTATCTTCTTACGTCAAAGGTTTAGGAAAAATCTTTCTAGCAAGAACCTCTTTTTCAGTCATTTCGACTAAACTACCTGTGAACATGGCTTTGAGGACGACAGAGCCTGTGAAACTGAAGAGTCTAAGGCAATGGGCAGGGAGATCGAGGAGGTGGAAAAATGACTTTAAGAAGACTGGAAATAGGGATACTGCCTAATCCCTGTTTCTGAAGAAAGATTACGGGCTATAATTTATAATTTAGGGCCTGCAAGCAGGAAATGCCCTTCTTACACATTCTTATCTTTACTCCCTGGTACTCCCCACCAAAAATAAATACCCTAAGAGCATGCAAGTTAAAATCACTGTCCTCTACAGCAACTAGAGATATTATTGACCAAGGCAGAGTATCTCCATGCAGTGAGTGGATTGCAAACAACAGGCTGTTTTGAAAACAAATGACATGGTGTGTGGTGAGAACCTGGAGGCTAGAGGTGGAGAGAGAGTGAGAGTTAGTCTGAAGTGTGGAGCCAAGAGCAATTAACTGTCATGCCTTCAACTAAACTTTGCACAGTTCTGCAATCCAGACTCAGACAACACAGCAAGGCCACCAGAAGGCTATGGGTCTCCAGGTCAAAAAGGCACTTGACACCTCCAAACACCATGATTCTTTTAGTGCCAACCACTCTCAGATAAGCAAAACAATCCCCACTCCAGGATCATCTAACAGTGGCAAGAGGCACAATTAGTTTTAACCACTTTCTTTGGGACCCAAATTCCCAGGTGCAGAGGGAAGAAGGTGGTTGGTAACTGAACTACTTGGAGACCTTGAGAACCTCAGACTCTCTGATGGCCCTGCAGTGCCAGCTGGGATCCTGGCATCCCCAGGAGGACCTACTACATCATCATCATCTTCCTCCTCCTGCTCCTCGCTGTTTGTATGGCGCCAGGAGGGCATGCTCACGAGACGGAGGGTCTTCAGCCCTGCTGGCTCCTTTGGCCACCAACCAAGGCAAAGATAGGACAGAGTAACAGGAAATTCACAACACAAAAATGAAAAGCAAATGAATGCAACATTTTTAAAAAAAAGGGAAAATAAATATGAAAATACCCTCCCACCTCCCAAAACATGCAAAACCAGATCACACGGTTATACTGAACACTTAGGTTGAAACACATCTTCAGGGTGCCTGCGTGGCTCAGTCAGTTGAGCATCTGACTCTTGATTTCATCTCAGGTCATGATCTCAGGGTCCTGGGATCAAGCCCCGTGTCTGGCTCTGCACTCGGCGCGGAGTCTGCTTCTCCCTCTCTCCCCCTCTTCCACTGCCCCTCTTCTCTCCCCTCTCTCTCTCTCCACCCCCCTCTCAAATAAATAAAATAAAATCTTGGAAAAAAAAAAAAAGAAAAAAAGAAACACATCTTCAATTCTCCATGGCCACCCACCCTCTCTTTTTGTGAATCAACTAAAGGAGAAAGAGATTGTGAGAATAAACATGGAAGAGATATTTAGATGGCTCTCAGTGAAAAGATGATACCCTATGAATATCTCCATAAACAATCTGCAGGTTTTCAAAGTTAGGCAAAGAAATTAGATCGGAGTGTTTTCAGGCTGTTTTGTAAGCAATGTCACAGAAAGAATCACTTTCAATATAACAGTCTCTACGAGTTCATCAGATATCCCAGCCAAAATGCCCCAAATGTAACTTTGTGAGTGTTAAAGAATACAGTCCAGCAATGTGAAAGTGACATTTTACTTAAGAGATTTATAAATGAAGGCCAGATAAGAACTGGAATTCACCAGTAGCGGCTATGTTAATAAAAAGTGTCTGTCAATTTTTGTCCATTAAAAATTATACAAGTAATTCTATCGTAAGACAAAAGAGATGTGAAACCAAAACAAAGGGGCCATGGGAAGTCAGGCCCCAATCCTTGAAGAAACTGAATATTACTTAAGGAGTGAAATTTAATGTGCCAAATTCCCTTCTTGAAACCCAGCAAACAATGACTAAGAATTCACCAAGGGCAGTGAGTGGGCTGGGCTTCGGTTCTTTCTCTCCCCAGAGATGTTTCCAGGATTCAGCCCTGGACTTTTCAATGAAAAATACGTTGTCTATGATGCTAGAGGCAGAACACAAACTGCACAGGACCCCCTGCTTCCACTAGGCTCAAATACATGAAACAAAGAGCCCCCAGGTGGGGCTGTTTTGATCCCTCAAATAAAGCAAGTAGAAGAACTATCATCTGACAAGCCAAGAAGCCCAGGCAGGATTTGCCTTCAGATATGTAGCTGTTTCCCACAAGCAATGGTTAACACATTTGGGAGGAGGCAGGCATATTTAACCATCCAAGGAGCTCAAAGGTACTGCATCCAGAGCTGTGCTGAAGTATCAACTTCAGTACTTCTCCAAACCTGTGAGACTCAGTGAATCAAAGAAGGAAGAAAATGAGGTGAATTCTAAAAACTAACTCTAAATAACTCTAAAAATAACTCTGAGCTTTTAAACGTAAACTCCAGGGCGCCTGGGTGGCTCAGTCGTTAAGCGTCTGCCTTCGGCTCAGGTCATGATCCCAGGGTCCTGGGATCGAGGCCCCGCATCGGGCTCCCTGCTCCGCGGGAAGCCTGCTTCTCCCTCTCCCACTCCCCCTGCTTGTGTTCCTTCTCTCCCTGTCTCTCTCTGTCAAATAAATAAAATCTTTAAAAAAATAAATAAATGTAAACTCCATATCCTTAGCTGAGTACAGAAAATAAAACAATTTCCAGTAGATGGGAAAACAGGAGAGTCTGTATAGACTAGAAATAAAACTCTAGAAAAAAAATACACCTTACTAAAAAACCTTTAAATGTGAATCTACTATTCCTGAAATATTCTACCTACAAATAGATAAAGAACAAGTAAGGAGAAAAAATGCAGATATGAAAGGAATAAAACTGATACCTGATTCCATCAAGAAATGAGAATATGATACATCAATTCCCATTAAGGTGAAATTACATCATTTTAAAACTCAGTCTGAGTTAGAAACAAAGTCCACCAAGAATGCCTTCTACTTCTTCCTCCCACATGACTGACAGCAGGCAGCGGTGGCCAGGCCTGGCTCTCAACAAGATGGACCAGTAGGTCACTAACAGGGCTGTATTTGGGAGGCCACTCATGAGAAGAAGGGAGAAGCTCACCAGTTTGATGCCCGAGAGGACCTCCAGCAGAGAGATCAGGTTGTGGCCATCCCGCAGATCTTCATAAAGATCATTGATGTGCTTGCGGACCTGTGCGTGAGAATGAAACAGACTGATTTTTATTTGATCTTGAATTCTTTTATTAGCTACACAAGAATTTCTGGTTCTAGGTAAACACAGATTAAAGAATTTGAAACAGGAGGGGCGCCTAGGTGGCTCAGTCGTTAAGCGTCTGCCTTCGGCTCAGGTCATGATCCCAGGGTCCTGGGATTGAGCCCCGCATTGGGCTCCCTGCTCCGCGGGAAAACTGCTTCTCCCTCTCCCACTCTTCCTGCTTATGTTCCCTCTCTCGCTGTGTCTCTCATTGTCAAATAAGTAAATAAAATCTTTAAAAAAAAAAAAAAAGAATTTGAAACAGGAAACAATAATAGAATTCAGGAATTTTCAGTTTGGATTACAATACATATGAAATAGTAACACTTAAGAGAAATGTATGCACGTTTTAAAAACTGAAGCCAGATCTATTACATACTGTAAACAATGTTCTAGAAAGTCTGGACAAGGAGGTGGAGAGTCAATCATCCTGAAACCTCTCAGGAATTATTTTGGACCAAAATGTGATACAATGGCCAGTGACAGACAGATGAGTCCAGTCAGGATCAGAAAAGCCTTCCAGGGGCGCCTGGATGGCTCAGCCAGAAGAGCATGCAACTCCTGATCTCAGGGTTGTGAGTTTGAGCCCCACACTGGGTGTAGAGATTACTTAAATAAATAAAAACTTAAAAAAAGAAAAGAAAAGCCTTCCAGAGGGCAAAGGAAACAAAAATGCTAGATACCCAGTGTTTCATAGGATGTACCTATATGTTAACTCCTCTCTTACCAAATATTTCTTTTTTAAAAAAAAGATTAATCTACTTAGGGGCTCCCGGACGGCACAGTCAGTTAAGTGTCCAACTCTTGATTTCAGCCCAGGTCGTGATCTCAGGGTCGTGAGATCGAGCCCTGTGTTGGGCTCCACGCTCAGCATGGAGTCTGCTTGAGCTTCTCTGCCTCACCCTCTGCCTCTGCCCTTCCCACTCGTGCTTACTCTCTCTCAAAATAAATAAAAAATCTTTGAGGGCGATTTTCCTTGTGAAAAAAAAAAATTTCCAATTTTATAACTGAAACTATGGGAAAACATCTCACTTTGGAAAAATATGTGGTTAATGTCAAACACCATGCTGAATGTTGTACACATTACCTCATCTCTCTCTCACATTGATAAGGTAGATGGTACTCCTATTTTACAGATGAGGAAACAAGGCACAGAGAGGTTAAGCAACTTGCCCAAGGTCACAAGTGGAAAAACTGGCCTCAGTTTGGGCTTTCTGAATTTAGTCTTTGCCATTAACTACTATGCTTTATAATCAGCCATAGTCTCATTTTATTTATTTAATCCAAACAACTGCCCTGTGAAGTTTATTTATGTATCCTCAGAAGGAACTAAGGAAACTGAGGCTTTGAGAAGTTCAGGTCACATAACTGCAGGAAGTGGCAGTAGGTTTTCTGGTTTATTCCAAGTCCAGAGACAACTTCACTGAGTGACACAACACAGAATCAGAAGACTAGTGGCAAGTATAAGGAAGAAGATTCATTTTCAACATAGATAGTTCTCTAAACAATAATAAAAAGGGCTACTTTCAGAAGAAGTGGGTTTCTAGTCACTGAATTTTTCAAGCAGAGACCAGGATACTAGGATTTCCATATTTGAGTGGAAAACTGTACTGTAGTCATTTCCAATTATAATATTCTAGCATTCCAAACAGAATGGGAGTCAGAAAAGATCATGGCTATGGGGCGCCTGACTGGCTCAGCGGGTACAGCATGTGACTCTTGATCTTGGGGTCGTGAGTTCGAGCCAAACCTTGAGTGCAGAGATTACACTAAAAAAAAAAAAAAAAAGGGATAAGGGGGGAAATAGCTGGTGAGGCTTCCTGGAAGAGAAAGAACTGGAAAGATGGGGGAGGGGGTTAGATTTTATTTATTTATTTATTTATTTATTTATTTGAGAGAGGGAGAGAGAGCATGAGCGTGCCTGGGGGGAGGGGCAGAGGGAGAGGGAGAGACTCTCAAGCAGACTCCGTGCTGAGTGCAGAGCCTGATGCAGGGCTCAATCTCACGACCCTGAGATCAAGACCTGAGCCGAAACCAAGAGTTGGATGCTTAACCAACTGAGCTACTCAGGTACCCCTGGAAGGATTAGAAAATGTTTTGACAGAAAGACAGAAGATGGTAAAACCACAGAAGAAAAGGTACAGAGGTAGAAACAGGCAAGGTATGAGTGTTTGTACCTGTGTGAGTGAAGGATTAAGAAGGTGATGGGTAGATTACCCAGTTGGAGAAAACGGTTCATGATGAATTGGGTAATAGCTTTCAAACATTGAAGGAACATTTCTTCAGTTTTTGTGCTATTCACAATATGAATATAGATATAACACACTTTTTATTTTAATCAGCAATATTAACATTTTCTCCACCACTTTAAGTCTAGACAAAATAACACATCTAGCTCAGACTTGTAGCATTTGTTGATTTCCGTAGTTTAAATACTCCCACCATGACCAATTTCCAGCCACTAATATATCACTAAATGCAATGTTGGGATGAAATGTACAACAACACACCATTATAGACTTTTCCATCAGAGATACAACAGACATAATTAATCGCAAGAGCATAGACTATATTAACATGTAGCAAAATAATTATGAGGTGATGTGTTTTGAGTATTTATTATTTTTATTTTAAATATCATTTATTTAATTGTAAGTTTATATAATTTAATTTTCATAATGGCTGTGCATAGCAACCAGCTCACAAAATTAGTATTCAGCTCTTGTGAGCCCATGTAAGCTGGCTCCAAGATTTCAAGACCTCTCCATCAAGTGGGTCCAAAGTTTCAAGCTTGCACAACCACAATGTACCACTAACAGAAATAAGCAGGTCATGAGGGTTGGGAAGAGAGCGGATTTGAAAAGTACAATTTTGGTGTTTTTTTTTTATTTAATTTTTTTAAGATTTTATTTTTAAGTAATCTCCACACCCAACATGGGGCTCGAACTCACAACCCCAAAATCAACAGCTGTACACTCCACTGACTGAGCCAACCAGTGCCCTGAAAAGTTCAATTTTTAATATGTTGAATTTAAAAGAGTAGCAAAGGAGCTACAAATGGTAATGTTCTGGGAGCAGCTGAAAATACCAGAATTCAATTTGGGTCAGCTGAGAACTTAAGTTTAGAAGTCATATGCATAGAGGTGCTAGCTAAAGACGTGGGAAATGTTGGCCTTTCTGGGTTAGGGGCAAGAAAGAAGAGCACAGTGCTGAGGACTGAGCCTGTGGGAATAGTCAAAATTAGAAGGCAGGAGATGGAAAAGCAATCAACAAAGGATAGGGGGTGGAAAAAGGCAGAGAAAGAGGTAGGGAAAAAAAAAACACATAAGAAAGGGTAATCAAGGAGGGACGGGATGGATGATCACCAGTATCAAATGCTCCAGGACAAGCATGAAGACCAAGACAGGGTTTCTGTTAGTCTTACAAATAATGGTGTTTTTTGTGAGACTCACTTCTAGAGAGTGGTGGAATAGAAGATAATAAATGAATTGTAGGTTAAAAAAAATAGACAGAATATATTAAATACTTCATATTAAGTTATAAAGAGAAGTGACAACAATGAGGGACTTATTTTTGATAGGTAAGACCTGAGCATAGGGCATTCAAATCAGGAATGGGCACTGAATAATTATTTAAATAAATTATAATAGAAATGAGGACCAAGTAAGACCGTATTGGCAAAAGGACACTAAATACCACAGAGTACTGAAAAGAAAAAGTGGTACTTTGAAATATAAAGTTAATTTCACATCGAGGACTCAACATCTCCTTCTAAAAATTCCAGTTATGTTTTGTACCTGCAAACAGCAAAATTCAACCACCTTACAAGAAACTTAGCTGAGACTAATTTATTATGTCTCTCAGTCTTTCCCTTGATTATACTGACTAAATAACTATGAAAAACTGTAAAAGAGAGATATGGACAGAGGTAATGGGGGAAGAGAGGGGAGCATTTTTTCCCTGAATTTTCAGTAACAGAGAACAATAGTTTATTTCGGAAGCATAATGGACCCAGCAGGATAAAGTACTAGCTAACACTTACTAGTGCTTCTATGTCAGAAAATGTTCAGATACAGAGATGGGATTTGCGGGGCTCAATTCACATCCCGAGATCACACAGTAAATGGCCAGTCCAATAAAATCCAGGTCTGCCCCACTCCAAAGCCTTTACCTCTTCCTCAAACACTAAGTGGTCTCTAAAATTTTCCACAAATCTCTTAAGAAAAAGTCCAATAGCAAAAAAAAAAAAGAGAGAGAGAGAGAGAGTCTAATAGCTAAGTGCTGTATGATATATATGAAATCCTAAGAGTTGTCATCACAAGGAAAAAAACACTTTTCTTTTTTTGCTCTTTTCATTGTATTCATATGACACAATGGATGCTAACTAAACTTACTGCTAATCATTTCATAATATATGTAACTCAAACCAATACACTGTACACATTACACTCATACAGTGATATATGTCATTTCTGTCTCAATAAAACTGGAAAAGGGTAAGGAAAGGAAAGACAAGAAAAAGTCCAGTGGACCAAGCATCAGATGTTTTAGAGGCAGCCTGGGAAAGCCAAGACTGGTCAAGAATCATCAATATGTATGTTTCTCTCCAACAAATACCCATGCTATTCTGTCAACAAAATATGAGTGAATAACTTCAACGACCTGAGTCTTTGCCATTTGCACTCCCTGTGAAAATCACTGTCAACATTAGTGAATGTCTCTAAAGAATATATACAAATGGCTAACAAATTCAGGAAAAGATGCTCAATATCATTAGCCACGCAGAAAATGTAAATCAAAACCACAGGAAGATACCACGCCCCACCCAACAGGAGAACTATAATCAAAAAGATTATAACTGTTAAAGAGGATGTAGAGAAACTGGAACCCTCGTACATTGCCGGCAGGAATGTAAAATGGTGCGGCTGCTTTGGAAA